AGCGAGAGCGTGAGCGTGAGCGAGCGTGTGCGTGCGCAGGGCCGTGCATTGGGGCGCCGCCCGGGGCGTTTCCGCCGCGATCGCGGCCGACGGCGCCGTGGCTCAGCAGCAAGTACGCCCCCGAGCCCACCAAGCCCTGGAAGCCCGTCACAGGTAGGCAGCGCGCGCAGCGGGCGCTCAACGCACCACGCACCGCACACCGCGCACCGCGCACCAAGCAGCGGCCACGCAAAGACACGGATGAATGGCGATTTGCGATGGTTTTTGCACTGCGTCAACTACTTAATGTGTTGTGTGAAACGAGCCTCTCTGCTTGCGTGTACTCCACGTTACGATTGAATTACGTCGAAAAGCAATGCTCCAACAGAATTACCGGATGTAAGCTAGTACTTGTATCGTGTACGATACAAGTCACGTGAACACGGTAAATGAAATTTGTTCCCTATTGTGAAGGCAGGGTGCTAACTCTATATTCTCTTGGGGCAATATGGGGTGGACAGATCTAGTCGAAGAAATGTCAATATAGAGGATACAACACAATGTGAGTTTAGAAGAACAAACATATTGGTGTCATGGTTCGGAACTACTTCATTTCATCGTAATATATCCGTACTTTCCGAATAGCCATGCGAAAGTCCTATGTGCGATGCCGCCTTAAACACGAAAACGTTGGGCAAAACGCTTTTAACACTTCAAACGATAGAGGACACATGGTTGCCTTGGAAATACATTATCATTTTACGATATGATGTTCGAAAACTCCATACTGTTCCTGATGTTGCCAAATGTTACGGGGGCGCCTAGAATTTACTCGCCTGCATGCCTTTCTCAGCAATTCTGAAATCATGAACAACTATGGGGAACATCTTGCATCGTTTTCTTACGTAGCTCAGAATTATTTTTTTTCTTAGGTTATGTGTGACATGAAATTTCTCTTTCCTCAAAAGCTTCTTCCTGTCGAAAATGGAATCTATTTGGTTACATTACATTATAGAGTCAGTAAATGAGGTCAATATTTCCGCGGTAAATTTCCGACCTGATACAGTCTCTCATTATTAATTAAAGTTCACACACCAACGCAAAAACTTTGCGCAATAAACTCACAAATGCACCACTGAGCAATGGAATTGCCTAAATCGCGAAAACATTTCACTCACAAACTTGACACTCGGCCCATCAAGCCCCTGCGAGGGGGAAGACATATTCTGACTTTCAAAATTTCATTACCCCTAATGCTATTTTGTAAACTATGTGATACGAGTAATATATTGATTCGTCGTTTTGGCAACATGAAGAACATCCGCATACAATCGCGCATCGCCATTCATCCATTTCTGGGTTTTCACTACAGTGGCTACTACAGCAACGCAATTAGGAACTGCGCATAACTACTACTAATGCCACCTTCCAAACTTCCTTGTACTTCACAGTAGGGGTGGGCAAAAACTCATTTCTATTTATCGAAATTCAATTCCTTGAGATTCGAATATATTTCAAAAATTTAATTCATACATATCCGATTTTCGGGAATATTAATGCATTAAAATGCAATAAAAGTCCCTCAGGCATTAACAAAATATTAATATACCTCTATAGATGCATTAGAAAACCAAGGTTAACTTCAGAGTTTTTTATATATTTTGAACAATTATTTTGAATTGTTCGATTCGAGAATCGCCTCATTATAGTACATTCATGGTTACATGAAATCATGAATTTTTAAACATGATTTGATTCTTCTATTTAATGTTTTTAAAGGATCTCCCATCCGTACTTGGCCAGTGTGCCGCGGCCGACAGTGTTCTCACGTTTTTCCCACCGCTTGCCACAAGCTCACTGCATGCGCACCCTTTCTCCCTTGGGACGTCAGGACGTCATTGCCAGCTGCTAATGAGAATGTCAGTGAAATGAAGGTGATACGTTCGATTACTGATCCTCTTTTCCCTTTAAGAGAGGCTTATCAATACGGAATGCAATCCCTGACTTGATCGTTTGAATTTTAATATAACCTCGAGAAAGTTTTTTTGACATTCAAGAGATCACCCTCGCGATACTATAATCAAGAGTGAAATGTACTTCACTGCCACATCACACACCCATTCAACAAATTAATAGAAACAGAACAACGAAAAGTAGTTAAAAGCGACAAACGAACTACAAAAATGCAGCAATAAACAAACAATAAAATTATGTACATAATTCCCCCTTCTTTAATGTAAACACATTTTTCGATCGCTTGCCTGAAAACCGGCGAATCTGCCTTTCTTCGCTCTCTTTTGAAGGTGGCGAGGATAAAGTATTTTATCTGACCCGCTTCTCTCGTATTGGTCACTGCTGACGGTATTATCATTAGACTCTCTACACTCACGTGTACAGAACGTTTATTTAGCGTTATAACGGAGGGTGTCTGAGTTAAGAATCCCCACACCTCTTGTACTGGAATCACTATTAAATACTCCTGTCCAAAAATCTAGATCTGCTCCATTGTCCGTATAACCTAAACGGATTCACGTTCTCGGTATTAATAGCGCATTCTTAATTCTCGTCGCAATAGTAGTTTAAAATTACAACTGTATCTGCTACGAAAATGATAAAGAACTTTCTGGAATTGATAATTTGTGCGATAGCTAACAATTCGTCCAAATTTTAATCAGTAGATTCATCGAATTCTAATCCCTTCCCATAAAGCCGACGCTTAATTGATTCTCAGAGCTATGTTAATTTTTCACAATAATAATTTGAAATAGTGTCCATGAGGCCATAAAAGTGCCGATTCCCTTTCAAAACAAATCTGAGAAAGCATTAACTTCTGAGTGTGTTAAAGAGAGGCCGAAAGGTATGAAACCGCTCAGTAACTTATTCATTCTATACCTTCCTGGATGTATCGGGGTGTCTACCTCCTAAGAGTGAGTGGATTTTTGCTTCCGGGACCATCAACTTATGTAATTACTCCCTAAGTGTAGTGCGTGGAATATTCCGTAAGATGGCGTTGTTCCTCTCTCAGTGCAACGTGAGATCCAGCTCCGAACTTCACGTTCATTTCGAATTCACCATCTCCAGGTACCACCCCCAGAGGGGCAGCGGTCCCAGCCGGGACAAGCTCTAAGCTTCCGACATGTGCCGTACTGTAGTGCATATATATGTAAGAGTGTGTACGGGAAGAAGAGAGGACAAAGACGATAAAGGAAATATTGCACACGCTCTCGTTTGTTCAAGTACTCGCTATTGCTCGTTTGTTCGAGCATCGTTGCGGCAACCGTCTGGTATTGACACGGAAAATCAAAGAAAACTATCGATCAAAGCTCAGCCAGACGCTAGAATTTTCCTCCTATGGCAGTGACTAAATTCGACCTAGTTACGTGTAGCTATTATCGAAAACCCATCACCGCGGTGGCGCACCGTCAGGATTCGGGCCCTAGGACGTTTCGGTCAAAAATGCTGCAGATGCAACGGTGTTCTCAACGAGTCAACGCATCCGGTACCTTCGAATACTATGTTGGGTTATAAGGAGGGTAATAAGAAACATTTCTGTTGTGTTATTTTGGGGTACAAAATTCTTTTAAAAGTCACAACACTTATGCAGTACCAGTGTACGTGGAGTTGCCTACCAGAGGAAAATTCACATGTGTAACTTAGTTACATGATATTTTACACCACATGTTTACTAGCAAAAAAGGCAATTATCTTCCGCACCTTTACATGCTCTATAAGTTTGTAATATTTTCTCGGAGGCAGCGTTGCATTTTTATCGACCCATCCGTTACCGCCACTTCTCCCTACTTACTGCATTTAATAATAGCAGGTGTTTTGCATACGCAAAAGCGATTGAAAAAGTCCGTATTTAGCATATAAAAATATTGTAACTGTTGATGTTTTAACTCTAAACATGGTGTCAAATGAAATTGTTTTTGGACAATGAAATTGTCTTTTCTGAATGCCTTGTAAGCACTGGTTCTTTGGTACAATCGTTTGTTTGAATTTAGTTCAATTTGTAGTCACCGGAAATACATTGTTTTGTAAATACGTCTTAAACAGTTTGCATAGTAATGTAGAACTTAAAAATTAGTCAGGTTCGAGATGTTAAGGGGTGATAATGCACAAGGCAAAATGTAGTGTAGATATGTATACAGATGTCTCAAAATTAATGCTACCTATTTCTAGAGATTGTAGAGAGGTCGAAAATGATCACATTTTGCTATTGAACATGTAGTGCGAAATATAACGGAGTTACGAGTGTGATATTTTCCCGTTTTTTTAGGCCACACTTTTTGCACAGAAGTTCGGTTGGTCGTGTTCTGACGCCGTCAAGGAGGTTTCAAGTACAGCCGTACATGTCTATAATGTGTTGCATAGTGATCACGGGCATGTGTCACATGCGTACAAGCAGAAAACTCCGTTATATGCAATTTCCCACTTTTATTGGCGAAAAGTGATCATTTTTGACCTCCCTTTATGTGTACTAGCAGTTAGTAACCTTTATTATGAGACACCTACAAATCTGACATGGTGCCTTACGAGGAAACCTCTTTAGTTGTATAGAAAGGAATGTAAATTATTTCGTTTTTAGTTATTTAAAATGATTTAATCTCAATGAAACGAATATTTAATAGAAAATGTATTGTTTTGTTTTACTAATTTGTTTTATGTGTAAGTGAAAATCAAAAAAAGTGTGCGTCAGTATTATTAGCCCTGATAATGGAATAATACATTCCGAATCGTTGGTGAAGTAGCATAGTTTTTATTTCCTGTAAACGACATGCCAGTCAATTGTTTGGCTTTGGCTGGATTGTGAGCCGCTGAGGCTGACGGAGGCGTGGTGTTGCAGCGCCGCCGCGTGGGCCGGGCGCTGGTCCCGGAGGGGCGCCGGCGGCGGGGCCTCGTCCCCTGCCGACCCCCGCCGCGCTGTTGCTGCCGCTGCTGCTGCTGCTGCTGCCGCCGCCGTCGCTGCTGCTGTCGCCCTTCAGGGCGCTGGGGCTGGCGTCGCCCCGCGCGCTCTGAACCCTGGCCGAGGCCGGAGCGCTGGGTCGTTCCTCCTTCTCCTTCTCCGCCGCCGCCGCCGCCGGCGACAGCAGCTGCTGCAGTCCGCGAACCAAAGCGAAGACGGTTGTGATTCTCCTTGGAGTGACGCGCGCCGTTTCGTCGGCTGTGGCACGTCGCTACACGTGCACCCAGGCGAACTCTCCCGATTTTGTGGGAAACGAACGTTCTACTCGAGGTCTGGAACTGGAATGGAACTCTTTTGGAGCACGTGCGGGATACGTTGATAGTAGATATTCGGTGATTTTTCTCTTTCTTTTAGTTTTACGAAAATGGAACAACCAAACGGATTTTGTCATTAATACTTCTCTTGTACCCGTTGCTCTGACGGGCTGAAAATCGAAGACTTGAAACGGACCACGTCCCTCCTCTGAAAGAACCCATTCGTAATTTATTTTTTCATTGTCCGCCAGAATCCACTAAAAAGACGAAGAGCGAAGAGTCACGAAAGCCTCGCTTAATGTCATCAGTTTCTTCAGAAGTTATGAGTCGTGAAGCATGTGAAGAAAAGTATTTATCAATCTTGCCTCTCCGTAATATGTACAATAAAGCAACCAAGGGGGGGGAAGGGTCTTCAGCCCTCTCTCCAGAAGCCAACAACGCTGTATTTATAAATAAAGTTTTTATAATTTTCGATAGTCCCAAAAGTCATTTGGTATCTCAATTTAATATTCGTTACAAAATATAAATAAACCAACACATAAAAATAAATCTTAAATCCAGCATAAATAAGAAAGCTTTGTAAGAAATTATTAAAACCATTAAGTCG